AGGAATGCACGTACAAAGGCGTTGGAACATGAAAGTCTTGTCCGAAATGTCAAAATTATGAAGAATAATGAAACATCAACTTAAGCATCTACACAATAATAAATAACTTACCTACCCCATAAGATCAATACTTGAACATTTAACATTTAACAAAATCCAAGATCAGTCAACTCCAAAAGATTAGGCAATTGCAGGCCATAAACCCATAATTACAACATCACAAATCAAAGAAAAAAAAAACAAAATAAGAATCAAGATCCACATTGAACATTTAACAAAATCCAATACATTGCTTAACTTTTTTTGTTTTTTTTGTTTTGGTAATCCTGGTAATTTTATAAGGAATAAAAGAATAATAGTCAACAAAGGGGGCTCCCCTTAAGAGCAATCACCTTAGGCATACCCAAGGAGAATGAAACAAAAAAGAAAAGGGCAAGGAAGGATAAACAATCCTTATACACAATAGATATGCCCACGGAGAATGAAACAATAAAGAAAAGGGCAAGGAGGGATAAACAATTCCTGTACACAATAGACCCTATCAACTCTATACAAAAGGAGCCAACAAAAGCCATCAAAAAATAGGCTCATGCATCCTGCCTACAAAGCAAAAACACTACACAGCACCAAAGACCACCATAATCCAGCAATCCTACAATCATATAACACAAGTTGTGTTAGTTATCAATAAATAGAAAAAAAGAATAATAAAATAGTCAACAAAATTGATAATTACTAAATTTTCACCTTCAAGCTTTTTTAATCAATTTATTGCTTTCGCAATTTCTTCTCTTTTACTTTACGAACAATTTGTTCAAGCTTTGATTGCTTTCTTTTGAATGGAGGACGACCTTTGCTTCGCACAACCCGTGGAGTAAGAATGTTACTGCTCCCTTCTTTAGTAGTATCATCAACACCTTCACAATTCGTTCTACTACTAGTTGACACATTTAGTCTTTTACCAATCCCACCAATACTTTCATTCGACATCAATTTGTTCTTCATATCGTTGATCATTTCTATCACCATATTACAATCATCCTCATTGCTTGATGCCAAATCTGCTACCGTAGAGAATAAATTACACATCTGATCAAATCGTTGTCCTTCAAGGGTGGTGCTCCAATTATTGTAACTTATCCTAACCTTGGTATGACATCTGTTTATATTTTTACTCCACCACCTTAATATGTACTTTTCTGGTACATTATAAATTTGCCTACGAATCAACACCATAATTGCATGCCGACATAAATTCCTCTAAACTCAAACAATCGACAATTGCATCGAATGTCATAAGTTGCTTCATCAAAGCAAACCAAAAAAGGAACACGACCGTGAGTCTCTCTAACCACAACATCTTCTTCTATTATAAATTCCATATAGGAATCAGTCTCTTTGAAAGAAGATAAATCACAATAGATCTTAGCCACTAGCTGTCGTTGAAACTCTTTGAATTTCGCAGTGGTATACGAATCTTGAAATTGTTTCTCAATAGCATAAGTTGTTATGCAAGGGATCCATGATCTAAAAGATTTAAAATTAGCCTCCCTTTCTTTTTCTACTTTATCCCACAATGCATTCTCATATTGCTCCACAAACTGTTTTAAAGTGGTTTTTGAATTAACATATCCATCAAAGAATGCATGCATACTTTCACTGCGTTGAGTAGTAGACATACCTGCCCAGAAAATGTCTTTTACAAAAGCCGACACCCAACGTCATCTTTCATTATACAATCCGAGTAACCAACCATTATCATGAAGGTTGTATTTATCAATGAACATATTCCACCGTTCTTAAAACTCCTCACATGTCAATGAATCATACACAACATTTTGCAAAGAAAATTTAATACATTCATATTGACTATAACCTCTTAACTTTTCGGGCAATTTTTTCATTATATGCCACAAACACCATCTATGTCGTGTGCCAGGGAACACAATCTTGATTGCATTTTGCATTGCCTTATCTTGACCAGTGATTATTGCCTTAGGAGCACAATTCAACATACATACGAGCCAAGATTGAAATAGCCAAACAAACGTCTCTGTGTCCTCATTGGATATTAACCCACAACCTAACAGTATCGAATGGCCATGATGATCACCACCCACAAAAGCACCAAGCAGCATATCATACTTGTTAGTCAAATATGTAGTGTCGAATGTCACAACGTCACCAAATTCTTTAAATGTGGCCCTACTTCTTGCGTCCACCCATAAAACATTCTTTAATCAACCATCTTCATCTAAATCCACTATGTAGAAGAAATTTAAATTCTCATTTTGCATTTTCAGAAAATATTTTTGGATTGCAGAAGCATCTCCAACACCAAGTCGTAGCCTCCTAACTTTTTCAATGTAGTTTCTACAATCTTTTTGTAGGAAAGGAAAATTCTCACCACTACCAGCTTCAACTAGCAAGGAATTGAAGTTCTTGTTTGGTCTAATCCCAGCCTTGTCATTCAATTCAATCTTCCTTTTCACATACGGTTGTATAATTCGATTGCTTTTAAAATATCTTGTTTTTCCAGGACTACTAAGTTCATGGTTATGATCAATGACAATTGACAATATTTGCCACAATTGCACCGCAGGAGGTCGTTATGATCATGCATTTTAAAGGCATTTCTAGAGTTACTGTTCCACTTCCCGCTACAAGAACAAGCCAAGGTTGCATATCTCAACTCTCCATCATCTCCTTTCCTTGAAGATCTTATAATAGCTTCAAAACCTCTTTTGTTCCCATAGCTTTTGTAGTATTGTAAAAGCTCATGAAATGAATCAAAAACCATTCCAGGCTTAGGCTCCCAATCCTCTTCTGCGTTTCTTGTATCTTCTATTTCTTGAAAGTGATTATCCTAATTTATTGATATTATAATAACCAGAATTAGAATATAATCATACTTAAAAAAGGGTATAAATAATATTAAATTAAATTAAATTCATATTAACGAATAAAAAGAGATTGCAAAGACTAAATTACCTCTACGACATTGAATTGAGCAAAATAGTTCTCTGAATTTTTTTGACTGCACTCTTCCATCTTTGAAAGTGGTGGTGGAAGAGGAAGATCAAATGACGACAGTTTACAATGGTGGTGTGGTTGGGAGTGGTCGTGGTGTGGTTGACGTTGGTGGTGGTGGCAGAGTTAATAAAAAATTTTGTTAGTACTAAAAATCTACTTCAAAAAATAAAACCTATAATTAGCTAAATAAATAAAAATAGTTCACTCAATATGTTCGTGCTTTCCTGTTTTCTTATATGTCACAAACATGCATGCATGCTATCTACCGTACCCATCATCAACTTACTCCAATTAGCTCCCATTCATTCATTGCAAGAGTAATTCAAATCACAAGAAAAAGTAGCATAAAATTGCATATTAATATCAATGGTCCAAATGCATTATCATATCATAAATTTCGTTAAACTCTTAAGGGAATGAAGTTCAATTTGAAAAAAGGAGTAATGAAAACAGGAAAGCGCGAACATGTTGCCATCCATTCCAAACTCCAAACGAATCAATAAGCATGTCATTCTTGTATTCCATCCAGTGGCGTAAGACTGCACAAATTAGCTCCATCCTAAACAACAACTTTTCTACAGCTTCTCAAATTCACAAAGTGGAGAAAGACTGCACAAATTCATTTCAAAATTTGTCCCCACCTCATTTTTTACTGTGAGAAAGATTGCACAAATTCTGATTTGTGCAGTCTTTCTCACAGTAAAAAATTAGGTGGGGACAAATTTTGAAATTCACAATTAAGAAAATAAAAGAGATAGAGACAGACTGTGAGTGGCGAAAGACTGCAGCAGTGAGAGGAAAGGGAGAAAGTCTTTCTCCACTTTGTGAATTTGAGAAGCTGCAGTCTTTCGCCACTCATTTTTTATTGTCTCTTTTATTTTCTTAATCCTATCAGAATTAAGAAAATAAAAGAGACAGAGACAGAGAGAGAAATAAGGGATATGATGGACATATGGATGAAAGGGAGCAGTGAGAGGAAAGGGAGAAGGCCAGAATTGCACCTCAGGAGGTCGTTGATGGAAGAGTAGAGAAGGTGATGGAGGAAACCAGAGTGGTCAACACAATCAAGGTGGTCGAAATTCTGTAGACCTGGCAGATGAATACCCAATGGAGCTGGTGCAGAGGTCGACCTGGTGCGGCTGTGGTGGCAACTGCGTTTCACCTGAGATTGGGGAATGTGGTGGCTAGGGTTCTAAAAATTGAAAGGAAATCTGGGAAAAACTTTAGGTTTCGAATTTGAGTGAAAATAAAATTTGAAATTTCTGATTGTAAGAAATTTTATTTTTTTAATTTTTGGAGGGAAGTGACATAACATATGGTTGATGTGGCAGATGAGGTGGCATCTGTCATGTCAGCTGCCATGTCATGTTGTAAGGGGATGTTGTAAGGGAGTGATGTTTGTGTAGTGTTATTGATAAAACTTATAGGTAAAGAGTAATTTGCACCTATCTCCCTAAGAAAAGTAGTGGACCATGAGAGTGAAGGTAATGGGGAAAAGTTAGAATCCACCCCTAAATTTTATATCGAATTGGACATCAATTGGTGTAAAACANCCCAACCCAACACTTGGAAACAATGGCCACTGGTTATATCATATTAAGCTTATTCTCTGCTGTCTTAGAACATGTTTGACCGCATTCAGATGGACAAAATTGATGTTCTGTAGTTTTCTTGTGGCTTCAAGATATAACTCAGTTCTTTGTTTCATGGTTTCTTGGACCAAAAGATTTAACAAAATACAACATTAAAGAAATGGAATTTCCGGCAATCAGGCCTTACGCTACTGTGTTGAGGTCCTCTTCCTTAATTTAATCTACTATAATGTGTCATGGCAACTACTAGCATCGAATCTAATCATTCAGGTTTTTTATGTGAACTGATAAAATAAAAAAGCACATGGCTAAAGGGTAAGTGGAGCAAACAAACATTTTAGATTTGATATTTGAAAGGCATTCTGCACTTACTGTTAATATTTGCATATTCCGAAATCGCAACTCAAAACTACAGCAGTTTACTCCTTGGAGAATTTACAAGCCAGTATCCACAAATCCAAGAACAAACTGATTCAGAAATTTTTTGATGTTCTTTAAGCCAAGAACATTCAGCAATGATGTTGTCAATGTTTTCATTAGATAGTATGCATACAATGTTCAACCAACTTGAAAACAATATTTAAATTAGACTTATAACAGGAAAAGAAAATGAGATAGCCTAACACATTTACCTATAAACGAAATCCTTTCCATCTTCTAAACCTTCCAATATCACTTCCTTCAGAGATTGCCAAACGAATCCCAGTCCTCCCTCCGTTTCCATGACCTCTGTAATACAATCTCCATTCATCACTATCTCCATCCATTTGCACTAAACAAGGTGACCCGACACGTTCATTATCCCATCCATCTTCAGCTTCAACCTTAAGAACTGCCTCATCTTTAAGCCTCCTCCAACCCTTCAATCCATCCGTTGACACTGCCAATCCAATACTCCCTATCCTGTCAGCAGCAACACCTTCATATGCCATCACATACTTCCCATCTTTCTTGTTCCTCACAACACACGCATTTTTTACCCCAAATTCATAAAACCCACCTCTTTTTCCTCTTCCCATTACCTTCCCCAACTTCACCCATTTCATTCCATCTCTAGACCTTGCAATGCCAATACCAAACTCACCATTTTCCATATCAAATGAATGGTAGTACATTCTTAGATCACCATTTCCATGAAAAAAAACTTGTGGTGAAGCAATGAATAGTGAATCCCAATCTTTTTTAGACCCCACATCAAACAATGCTCCACTATGATGCTCCCCTTCAATTCTTGCCCAATGCCTCCCATCCTGGCTTATTGCCAAACCTGGCAAGGACTTGAAAATCTTACCATTTTCACCACTCAAATTGCGAATGTGAAACCTTTCTGGATTTTCTAAATTCAAATCCAAAGAATCATCATCTAAGAATTTCACTTTCTTAGAACTAAAACCGGTGTAATAAAGCCAGTACACAGCACTCGAGGCTCTCACTTTATTACTGGACATGATCACCACCTCACTAGGCCTAATGCTTAAAGTATCAAAAGCCCACCAATCTTTACTACAATTCATAACCAAACCCACCTCATCACTTGATTTCACCAGACCTTTACCTCTCTACCAGTGAATTCCATTGCTTGAAATTGCTAAACCAATAAAATCAGAATCTGGGGTTTCACAAGAATTCCCATGGTACCACATGAACCATCTCTCCTCCTCATCACTGAGAAACCTTTTAACCACTGGTGAACCAATTTCTGCACTGTCCCATGAATTTTTTGGACCCAGATTGAGCACTAATCCTCTAGAAGAAGGGGGTACCGATGATGATAAAGAAGAGGGAAGTATTTGTGTTTCATTTGAAATGGGAGGTGACATGTTATTGTTGGTATATGAGTATGAGTTATGTTGAAAGTTTTGATTTTGGTATGTCTCATTGTTTGTGTTGGTGTCTGGTTTGGTGGAGCAACGAGAGAGGAAAGAAAGGACATTTTCTCTTGAGATGGGATTAAGAGCATAAAGAGCGAGCATATTTAGTTTTTTTGAAAGCCATGGTGGTGATAAGGTTGTTAGGACAGTTATTGTTAGGGGTGGGGATGTTGCAAGGAAGTTAACGATTGGCATCCCAGTAGTGGCAGTAGCTTCCATGGCTGTAGAGTCTGTGAATGGATGGGGTGATGGGTTAAGATTTTGGGCCAACGAAATTGTGACAAATTAAGATTTTGAGAGGAAACTGTTTGTTGATGAATTATCTATCAGAATTCAGAAGTGGGCTGTTGTTGGGAGTTGTATAAACTACTCCAAAGTCAAAAAGTTATCAATTTAGAGCTGGCAAAAAAGAAGGGAACAATTTTTGATGGCATACTTTTATTTGATTTATCAGAAATTAACGGTCCAATTGTTATTTCAGATTGAGGTTAGGTGTTTAGAATTTAGTAATAATGGCCTAATAGTCTCTTCCTAGCTTGGAGGGGAAGTCATTCTAATAAAAACTAAAAAGTGTGGAAACCAGAATAAGTTGTGACTTTTCTTTTTGGCAAACTATCAGGATTTCTAACTTCTTTAGAGACATAAACAGCTAAAGTGTAATGTTCTTTAGTTCCAAATTAAAGAAACAAAAAGAAAAGGAGATTATCTCTGGATTGATACCCATCTTTTCTTTTTAAATCTTTCATTTGGTCCTTCCATTTAAATTTCTCAATAATGTTTATTATTGAGCAACAAAATATTCCAGTGAATATAAATTTGTGCGTATAGAAAATGTCCTTCGTCTGGAATATTTATTTCATGCTTCACAAGCATTGTAGCATTAAGTTTGGAAGCAGTATTTGAAGGCTTAAATCACATTAATGGTCTAGCAATATTATATAGAGTAAACAACTTTTTTCTACTCAAATAATGGTTTAATGACACTTTTCTGCTTATACCACACAATTCCGTTGGTAAGTTTTGTTGTCAAGAAAGGTAGGTGGGTAAAAAACCCCTTATTTATAAGGGCATGATTGTCAATTAACAAAACCCCATCTCCACCCAACGGACCGTTGGATTAGGCCAAATCTAGTTTGATTCCGGCATCAACAAGACCTCCCAACCCCACCATCAGATTCCTCACATCAGCCACACCCTTTCATTCCCACATCGTTGCTCCTTCCTATCGACGGCCAACGACCACTACTCTTTTACGTGATAACCCATCTTTAAGGCCAGATTCCAATCGATTTTGCCAGTGAAAATTACCCCTGACACCACCATATGAACTACCATCCTCTCCTCAACAAAACCCACCCACCCATTGGCTGTCCTCAGTTGTTGTTTGCCGTTCACGAACTGCACTCACACTGCGCGACATTCACAATTTGCGACCTAATTTGTTGTTTGTGAAGTTCGATTGACAGGGAAATTTTTAGGAGATTGTTGTGTGTATTGAGAATTTTTTTTTTTTTTTTTTTTTTTTAAATTGTGTTTTGCTGTTTTTCCACCATTCACAAGCTTTCCCCACAGCCTCCCCACCTTGACGCACAACACCTGCTTGGCCATTTGCATCAACCAAAATCCAAGCCTTTCTAGACATCACCACCCCACCTGCTCGACTTTTTTACCCCAACCAACCTTCTCCCACTACACACAAGCCTGGGTGTTAGGGTAGTGCTGCAATGCGCGCTCGGGTGTGAGCACACTGCTTGGCATTAGGAAGCAGCCAAAAATCTGGTTGTTTTAAGATGGTTGGGGTCGCAAAATGTGATTGTCTTGCGACGACAATGGCAAGTCACTGGCGGCAAACAGCAAGATGGGAGGGTGAGTGGAAGTAGGGTTTTGTTGAGTGGAGGGTGAGGGTTCGATTGGTGTCATCAGGGAGAATTTTCGATGTCACATGCAACCATAAAAGGCCGCAAAGAGGGGAAACGTGCGAAAAAGCAATGGGCGTCTGTTGACAATTGGTGAGAGTTGCGGGTTGCGATGATAAAGTTTTTGTTAAGGATATTTTCTTCTTTATAATAAATATCATTGTATTTAATAGAAATAACTAACAAATATACGTTTGGATAAGAAAGTGATATTTTAGAAGTATGTGTCCTTACTCCATTATTTGGGTGGGAAAAAGTCTGAAAGCATTAAGACAATTCAATAGATAAAAATTGGAGATTTGCCATATTGATACAAAAATTTGCACCAACCAGCAAGATCCGATCGACTTTACTGGGATCAGAATTGATGTGTGCGTGATTAAGAATAATCAGCAATGTATGTAAAAAGAATGCAATAAAGTAAAGAAGCCCGCGATTGCCACTAAGGTGATAATCCGAGGATTATACTATTTTATTTAGACTTTTTGGCTTGATTCTAGATACTTCTTAGTTTGTTTATGCCTGAATTGCTACTTAATTCTATATATTTTATGTTTCAGGCCGAAACATGCATTTTTAGCAAATAATTAGCGAATTGGAGTTTCTGGACCCAGAAGAAAGCAAATCTCAGAATTTGGGAAAGTTCTAAAGTGGAGTGAAGCACTATGCCCATGGGAAAGCATCGAAGATCGAAGATTCAAGCAAGGAAGAAAGCGGAGGGCAATTCTGTAAATTCATAATTTTCCAAGAAGGTTCGCCGCGGCAAAGTTTATTCTTTGCCGCAGCGAAAGAAGCTAGGCACGAGATTCACTTTAGTTCGTCGCCACGGCAAAATTCTTTCTTCACCGCAGGGAAGTCTACAAAATTTTGTTTTCTCCAAAACGCACAGTTTTATTTTAGGAAAGGTTTTAGGTTTTTGGGCGAAATATATAAGAAAAACCTTGCCATTTTGGTCGAGGTTCGTCTGGTTTTCGTTTGGTTTAGAGTAGCTTTTACATTTGGAGAGAAGATTTGAGCTTTAACTTTGAGGATTCTTCAACTAGGGGAGATCTCTACTCTTTTCTCTATATTTCAATATGTTGACTACTGTGTTTATTGTTTTTCTTGCTGTTTGTGTTAATTTAGTTATGAACTAACCCATTTTGGGTTAGGGTGTTGATGTAATTCGGATTTTTATGGATTAATCAATTGATTATTTTGCTTTTATATTCTATTGCATAGATTGTGTGATTATTCCGATTTTTATTGATTTTACTTGTTGAACATGATGAGATTGAGAAATGAATCATGTTGAGCTTCTTGGATAATCACCATTGTTATTTTGAATGCTAGAGATAGATTTGAGAAACAATGAAATCAATCTAGGATTCAATAAGCATAATGAACTTGGATTTGTTAATCTTCAATTTGTTGGATGCGGAAGATTAATAGGGAAAAGTAGGATTCATAGCCTGAGAAGGTATGTTTTACAACTTAGGGAATTCGATTTACAATCCGTGCATGTGAGTGTAAAAGTAGCATAATTTGTAGAATTAATCCATAGGATCCTAATAAAGTCAAAACCCTAACCGTTTGCTTTATTTGATATTACTCTTGTGTTAAATCTTGCTTTCATAATTTAGTAGTTTTTACACTTAGTAAATTTTGCTTTCAGTTAAGTTTAATCTCTCCCATAAATCCAAACAATTTTCGGGTTCTTCAACTTGAAAACAAATAGGAAATTCAGTGCTTAGCAACCAATCCTCGTGGGAATGATACTCACTCATCACTTTATTACTTTGTGCGATTAGTGCACTTGCTATATTTGCATGTTTTAGTAACAACGCATCATAAGGCAGTTGGCAGGAACAACATTACGGAGCCTTGAAAGGGGCCAACAAAGAAGACATTCAAACCAACTAAAGGTTCGGAAAAAATAAAGCACCTGAGCAGCAAATTGGCGCAGCAACGGGGTGCTAACAAAAAACTGAACTCTAAGCTATCCTCGGCTCAAAAAGCAGCCGCGAGCTGGGAGGCCAAATCCAAAAAGTCTTCACTTGACCTAGGCCAGGAGGTGGAAGGTTGCCAAGAGGCCGAAGCTGAGGCTAGGTAGCCTAGGCTGTAGGTTGATGAACTGAATAAGGCCATCATTGCTCGGGCCTAGGAAACATCCGTCTTCCTTATCCGAAAATTGTGGGAAGCCCATCCTTCAATCGACTTCTCTTTCCTTCCCTGAGCTTACTAGAAGGAAGTTGAAAGGATGAGGGTCGAGGCTCGGGGGGAGATCTATGTTTACTCGGACAAGTCTGAGGGAGAAGGCGAGGTCCAAGGAGAGGCCAAATAAGGCGAGAAGGAGGCCGAGCCCCAGCTTCAGGTCAAGGATCCAACTCCCCCAAACACGATGCCACCAACTGAGGTTCCCGATCTTAGAGTTGAAGTCACTGCTTTTCCTGTTGACAAACCATCTCTTCCTCAGGGTGTCGACCTTCTTGGACAGGTCGAGGATGAAGTTCTATCTCCTCCATCAACCTGAAGAATTCCTTGTTTGTTTTTTGTTTTTTGTTTTTTTATAATTGCCCGTTTGTAATCAAGCTTCAATTAATGAAAGAAAACTTTTTCATCATTTCTTTTTCGAGCAATGGTTGTTATATTTATGCGAAGTCATTTAATTTATCCTAGTCGAACTTTGGGATCCGAATTTGCTCCAAGTTGTGCGTAGCTCGCTTCTTTAAAAGCTTTTCAGATTTTTGAGAGAAAATCTTTATGCGACGTTTAGCATCAATTTCAGATTTTTCATCCTTTTTAGGATTTCGTTGCTAGCTTAAGGCCGATTTTCCCCGACGTGCTTTTTCTTGGATTTTTCCAAATTTAACCTCGTCGATTTGGGATTTTAAATCCCAATTTTTGCGAGAAAATCTAATGCGACAATAAACTTCAATCGTAGACTTTATTGTCCTTTTCGAGTTATTTGGTCGCTGGCTTTGGGCCGATTTCCTTCGACTTGTTTTTCCTTGAAATTAATTTTAGGTTTAACTTCGTTGACTTGGGGATGTTTCACCCTTAATGAGTTGGATTTTGGCGTGGCTTGTTCGAGATAAGCTGCCTTTTTTGGACTCTTGACTCCAAGTTTTTAGAATATCATCGCTTAGGTCGCTATTTAGTAAAACGCTAACAATCTTAAGATGTTAACAATGAATCGAAATAAATAATGAAGAATACCTTGTTCATTAATCAAGTGTTTTGGTTTGGTCGTGAATGACCTTACAGTGAATACTGAACATAAGAACGGGTGAAACCCGAGCTTCTTATTGATAATACTTTCGCAAGTGCTTGATGTTCCATTCTCACATTATTGCTTTGCCATTGAGGCGTTCCAGGTGAACGGACCCTGGTGCAAGCTTTTCAGATATCTGAAGGGACCCTCCCATTTGGGCCCATGTGCCCC